CTTCGGGAAAACCGCAGATGAAGTTCATGAAATCAAGGTCAATACAAATCTCTCGGAACTTTTCTTGATGTTTACGACCACATGATAGGAGCGCAACGAAGCAGAGTATAACGCTCTCATGGCCCAGGCCAGTGGCGTCACATTCAACTTCAGTTGCCGTGCAAAGCAGGACACGTACAATGTGAGTGTTTTTCAATTCGTTACAGGTTTGAAATAATGAATAGTGTAGGATCAAACGCGTGTCCGTTATGGAATATCGAGAATTACTTCTCTTGATTATCACGAGGAAGCCAAGCATCTCGTCAACCTTCTCAAATCTCCCTGGGCTCAGTGATTCTTTTGTCAACATGTCTAGTTAGTGTATATTAAGCATTGTCTACTTTTGCATGCCATTGTGATAAAAAAATACTGTAACATTTGCCCAGTAGTTGAAATGAAAACGCTCTGTTATCTTCTATCGCGCCCGAATAACCAAGTAGCTGAAATGAAAATGACATTATTATCTTTCACGGGGCCCGAGTAGCCAAGTAACTGAAATGAAAACGCTCTGTTATCTTTCACGGGGCCTGAGTAAATACTTTACATAAATAGTCAAGGGGGATCTAAAGGATAATGATATACTCTCCTAAACACATGCCAGATCACACCGAACCCTTGGAGAACGGTGTCTACCGTCTGTTGTGCGACCGGGGGTAAATCTAATTTCAGTGGCCAAGGAAAAGGTAATACGTCGATAAGAGAAAGCGAGTCCTCATCTGGAGATAAACTCGGTGTGGGTGCGGATGTCACTTTTTCCGTAGCTGTTCCAGATGAAATATGTGATGGAGGCGGGGAAACCGGGGATTGGAAGGCGGTGTGTGCACTAGAGCCCTCCATCACCGACGTTAGCGTCGAGTATGATGGCGATGGCGTTGTCGAGGCTGTAGTGTAGCCAACCGAAGGCTTTGCATGCGGAGGCGCATAGATAGTCGTAGTAATGAACACCGTCTCGATCGACGCCTGAAGATGATGATCGCGCCAAACTAGATCATCATGTGGCGTACGCCGATCGAGGGAGTGCCTCATATGCCTGAATTCGGCTCCGAGGTTAAGTAGCACCATGAGAACAAGAAGAGCGGGCGCTGTCCATATCAAAAATTGAAGGAGTTTCCCCAGAAACCGGATGCTGGTGTGAAAACGGTGAACATGCGGCTGGGCCCTCAAGAAAAGTGTGGGGGTGAACATTTCTTCCAATATGTAATGGACCAATCTGCTGCCCTGTTGAGATGCGCGTTGGTAAGCAAGGTTGGAACGCAGAAAATGTGCGTCTAGGCCTGTAATACTGGAGTGAGTAAACATCAAGATAGGCATATTCATCACTATTACCTGTTGAGGCTTCCACGTTAATTTCGAGTTTGCCAACAGGCATTGTAAATGTGGGCAGCAGTATGCCCACGTACCCATCATACCCATCATCCTTGGCTTTGCCTTTTCCTCTGCGAAGACCGTCGGTGGGGGTCTTAACCAAATAGTCAATCTGAACGTCCCCAATGAGATCGCCCACGTACACCCTGACCCAGGCGGCCCAATTCTTGCTCCCTAATTTATCCAGAGAGGATGACAAGTCGACAATTGACCCCTCGTGCTTGGTGGCTGAGCTTATTTCAAAACGGACAGGCATGCCGTCAATGCTCACGCGCGCGATTTCCACAGAACAGTCCACAGGAGACGCGTCGTCTGCATGTGCGAGTCCAAATTCCATCCAATCTGTCTCCATTTCATATGGAGCCGGATGAGTTATCCGAACAGCATATACGTTGGTAGATGTCGCATGATCAAAACGCAAAGGCGTCACAACAACTATGACGGAGGGGATCATGAGGGGACCATCCCTTTTTCTTCTCGAGAAGGTACCAAACATCGGAGGGAGAGACACCCCAGTTGCTACACGGTTCATCCCAGTCGGCGTGCGTGGCCGACTGGGAGGGCGCTTTGTATTTTCAAGGGTATCATCTGCTATGGAGTATCTTGTTGGGATAAGCGATCTCGCTATGGAGCGTAGAGCAATACGCCCTCCGTCAGATCCACAACGCGATAATCCTCCGCGCTGCAGAACAGTCCTGCGTGTCTGTGCATCACGGACGTCGCCTGATATATTATAAACCTCCACTGTTGCAGCTTCACACTCATTGCGGATGATTGTCGCAATTGTTTCTGCATCTGCAGCGAGCACAGAAAATCGAGGCAAGACTATGGGGATAGGATCTGGTTCTCCGTCTGGGCTTGAATTTGAACCCCCGTTGAAAGCACGCGGACGGGATATGACGAGGATTGTGCCTGTGATATTGAATGTGAAGACATTTTTTGATGGGGGGAGTATATCATTCATGTTAATGTGAATGGTTAATGATGTCGGGGGATGAGGAATGTCCTGTACGTCTGAGTTCGCGCGGCTACGTCCCTCCGACGTCAGAGGCATCGAACTGATGGATGACAGAGTGCCCGAGGGTGTCAGAGAAGTCGGGGAACCCTCGAAAGAGTAGTCTGCCACCTGTTCTCCTGGCAGCGGCGCACGCAATAAAGATGAGGTCGAGGAAGTAGAGTCGTGACGTGTTGCTAGAACAGGTGCTTGGAGCCGAGAATTCGGATACGATTCCAATGGCGGCGACTGATAAAAATCCAGCGAGGCTTGCCTGGAGACCGGCGTTGACGGGGGGTTGACATCGAAGCCGGTATAGCCTGCACCTCCTGTGACAGTCCAAGTCGGCTCTTCTGCCGGTGCCCAAATGACGTCGGATCCTCGCGCCTCCAGCCCTACATCCATACCAAGCATCGTTGCAACGCCGGGAAACCAAACACCCTTTGCTGTTCCCTTGTATTCCAGTTTCATCAAGATGCCCTCCCTTCCACTCGCGGGATCGCTGTCCTTTCCAAGAACATGACATGTCATTTCACCCTTCACCTCTTTTACTCCTACGCGTCTCCGGCCATCTTTGCTGTCCATGGTCTTCATGGGTGCTGCCCAACGAACACGAAGACGGTCTGCAGATGGGAATGATCCGAGGATAGCAATACCGCCAGAGCCTCTGTCCGCGTAAGTGGAAGAGTCAGACGACTCATCATCCGCCATGTCTGCGTAGGACCCTGATCGCGAAGGACGAGTCGTGGTTCGTGTGACGTGAGGCTCAGACGTAAGCTCCCATGCGCCGGGATCCTCCTCTGCAGAAGAAAGAGAGGCAAATGAGGAGGATGTCGTTGTAGAGCTTGGAGGGAAAATGCGAAGCTTGACATTGTTAGATAAACAACGCGGAAGGGGAATGGATATCTGTATTTATGGAGCACTTGTAAGATGAAAATTCACGCCATAGTAAAAACGACGTACGAGGAAAGGAGCCTTCGGGGGACGACAGACATAAGGAACCCAGAGATCTAAGCCAGCCATGAAATGCATGTTATTACGCTCTCCTACAGAGCTTCGTCGCATTTTTGCGGCAGAAAATGCAGAAACCCTGATCGCACTGTCTTCACCAAACCTTGGTGGGAATTCCTTGGGCAGGACGTAAGAAATATTGTACCCGCTGACGAGGATGTGACCAGTGTACTTGTCGTCCAGAGGCGGGATAGTAATGTGAGATGTCGATGTAGAAGAGGATGCACGAGAGGTCGGACTCATGCTAGACGTTGGTAGACCAAAAACAGATAGATAAGATTTTTGAGAGCGCGCCGGTAGATTGAGAGCGCGCGCAGTGTTATTCAGTAGTGGAGAGGTTGTGGAGGAAAAATTGTAAGGAGCAGAATTACTGTCGGTTGGGTGAACTTCCGAACCCAGCATCTTCAAGTTTCCCTCTTCGATGGTGATAGTGAATAGGAGGAAGGGAAAACTGAGAATGAACGCTTACCGGGAAATAATGGTAATGTAGAACCAGGAGAAACAGCATCCATAGGTATTGAAAGCTATTGATGGTCTTAAGCCCATTCGTTCAGTTGCGTGAGGAACAGCACATACCTTGAGATACATTTTAATGGCAATGCCATCTTGACCCTGCTTCGCTTTGCCCTCGATAGCAAGACGTGTTACAACGTTTAACTTTGGTTGCTGCTGGGCAGTCGCCGTGAATGTGTGAGACGATGCATTCGCTGAGAGTGGTGGACTGATTGTACGCGCATGTCGCGATTGTGCAGGTGCATACATGGAATTCGCGTGTCTATCTGGTCAAATGACGCGCTATGATTGTTTATTGGCGTGTTTTGATATCACTGTCGTAAAGCCTTGGAAGTGGAAAAGTGAACCAAAAAGAGGTTCTGCTACCTTATATAGCGCGCAAAGAGGCCCGAACAGGTCGCCAAGAGGCCAGCAAGCCGTTGTTACTGCTGTGCAAGAAATGGAGAACAAAAAGCGGGTCGGTCAGCGGGAAAGGCGCGTTTAAGTTTATTTGCCACAAACGCGTTGCCGGATATACATGAAAAAGGCATCAAACGTCATTTTGATCAATGACCGTAACCCAACAACCACTTTTCTGGACGGCCACTCAACGGAAGCCCAGGCAAGCTTGGCCCCGGAGGAGACTCAACTCATGATCAAGGTTCCGTCATTCTTATGCCGACGTGATGACCGTTATATAGACTACCCTATCCGTAACTCTCCCCTCTGCAGCTAGCGCTGGCTTGTCACTTCCGCTCGGAACCCGGGCCACTGGAAATCCGACGAACGAGCACATCTTGGCAAGGAACCGGGATCTTGTGTCTGCAGACTATGTAGCCACCCATGCATTGATGATATGCACAAGTTGGAACTATTTCACAGTCAGACGCAACAAACTAAATAGGAATATCAATCGATACATCGCAGAGCTCTACGACGACTTACAATCGGCAACCTCAGCCAGTAGTTTCATTCCTATCTTCTTCTCCACCTTTTAACCTGTGAGATTGCTCAAATGCATGCCCTACTACTATAGCAAGGCTCACCGTACTACACATTCATCCACTCTGGCCAGCACTACTTGGAAATGATATTTGTTGTCTACGGTGGCTACTGCAAGGTGCTGTCGGCAGCTAGCCTCATAGACAGGTTTCCCTGTCCAAGGCCTCAAGCTAGTGTAAATGCACACAGCTACAAGGCAAGTTGGATTCCTTCTTGAATACTTTTATAATTCGGTGGTATGTATCATCGAAACGCATAATTTGTGTCACAATCAAGAACGAGTGAAACGAGTAAGTATAATAATGTGTGTCCAATGGACAATAGGTAATGAAAAGTCGTAATCGATCGTCGTCAGTAATACATAGGTGGCATAAGTCATGAAATGAGAGCACATCGTGACATTCAGGCGAGCATCAGTATCCGAGTAGTCGCTTTGGAGTCAGTTTAGACAGGAACAGTGCCATGGTGTTCTGCAGCCTCCTGTGCCACTTGCGCCCAATCCTTCTCGCGCACACCGGACTCGATCATCAGTGCAAGCTTGTTGAAGTTTACCAGGGTCAGTCCGTGAGATTGGCGAACGCGCGACTCCCAGCCCTCTGGAAGTTGTTCATGAAGAAGAAAGCTGCGCAGGTCCTCTACGCGACCTCCCATGGTTGAAAGTAACAGCGAGGCACTGACGGGACAGTCAGGATCGTGCTTGGAAACAGATGATGAAATTAAATACTTTGCGCAACCAAATAACTTGTGGAAAGTTTTAAGCGTGAATTCCTTGTTCACTGCACGCGACACTGCACGACGCTTGCCGAGCAACTTAGAGAGATCCTTGACTATAACGACATCGTTGCCGTCCTTGTCCTTACTGGAAGCTGCCGCAAGTAGCTCCTCGATGTAAGGTACGTGCTTTGTCGATTGATTTGGTTCGAAGGCAGCATCAAGACCTGAAGACAAATTATTCGACCGAGAAGAACAACCTCATCAAATTGCTCACGTAAGAGAGATGCGTCATGTTCAATAGCATTGTGAGCGTCAAGTTCTTCTAAATCAAGGGTATCATTGCCGAAGTTTCTCTTGAGCATGCGAGCAGCATAATGTGCTACAAATGAGGACAAGGTAGAACTGATGTTGTAGGTTCCTGCGACATGGCGATCAAGGTCGACAAATGATATGCCACGGCCAGTGCGCGAGATGATGCCTACATTTTCATGCCGTCATGCCAGGACTGATTACCCAGATGAGCAGAATTACTCACCATGGTTGGCTAGCGCATTGAGTCCGGGGCAGGAGCAGCGGGAGTCGGTCTCCTGGGGAGGCCTAAACTCGGGCCAGTGCCCTCCGTAGCCTGGGTAGCCCTCGGGGGTGACATTGCCGATGCGACGCTTCCTCTCTACGAGGTTGAGGAGCGTGAGGATAACATCCCAAGACACAGTTCCAGCATCGTAGAAAAAGTTGGACAGGTCAGAAAAGAAGCCCATATTTTATGTCCTGAACGTCAAGAGTGTGTTAAGATGCGGGCGTGGTTGGGAACAAAAAAGCAAACGCACTTGGCTTATAAATTTCAATTATAAGAGAACCGAATAAAGAACTCGGAACCAAGGGCTCGCTAACGACGACTTCTTTGCGATAGGCGACCCGAAATAAGCATGGCCAGAGGGCGTAAGAAGTGTGCGCCGTGCAAAAGTATGTTACATCATTTCAAAATCTGTCAAGCTTTGATGTATTTTATTCGGATCCATAGTATGAGACTTACCGGTACTCGAATTCGAACATTCCATCGGATCAGGGCTGTCTGAACTTTGAAGGATTCTGATAATCAACTTTACTAAGACTGTAGACTCGTTGACTCCACACTATAGCACTGAACCTTAATTTAATCGTTTCGTTAAAGTTGCAAACACTTCATAGCTCACATTGTAAGTCCTTGGATATAGAGTCCTTGGATATAGGACCTTCCAACATAGACCCATAGCATCGTAGGATGAGGAACATGTACGGCTTCAAACCTATCACTCTTTCATCAGGGGAAGGTAGTTTTCGACCAAAACAAAATGTTTTTCTACATACACTTAAGCTTTACACCTATCCGAGCATTTTTCCAGCAAAAATAAAACAGATTTGTAGCTGTTATCGACAATGCAATCGATGATTTATTTGCAACGCCCAAAATAGTCTTGGCCAAACAAGACTCCATCAATATATGGCATAGATATGGAAGTAAACATTTCAGATTCCGACGCAGAACGGAGAACGGAGAATTAATTCTGAGTGCGCGGGTACTTTACACCTATCCGAGCATTTTTCCAGCAAAAATAAAACAGTTTGTAGCTGTTATCGACAATGCAATCGATGATTCAAAAGAGTGTATTTGCAACGCCCAAAATCAAAAAATCTTGGACAAACAAGACTCCGTCAATATACCAAGTAAACATTTCAGATTCCGACGCAGAACGGAGAACGGGGAATTACATAATTCTGAGTGCGGCAATGTGCGGTGGTAAAATAACCGGGTACTAGATATTGCCATTGCCGGTCAGTGGTGACAGTTGAAACGTTGAAACTTGAGGTCAGTCCTTCAATTTTGTATTTGGGCTAGAGAACCTTAATTTTTCGCTTCTAAGCCGTTTAAGACATAGTATGTTAGCTCACCCAACCCTTCCAGCTCCCAAACTTTGTGTTGACAAGAGCAATGTACGTGCGTAACATTACTTACAGCAGAGGTCAAGACCTCCAGTACCGCTCGGTAAGGTACTTTCTGCTTCAGTCTTGCCATTGCGCGTTTACTGCTGCCCACCACGCCCGAACTACGGTCTCCTTTTGCCCACCACATGTAGTCCTCAAGCTGCGCCCTCCCATGTCACCAGCCAATTGTAACCTCATAAAGCCTGACGCTGCCTCTACACCTTCCACACCTCGAAACCTCACGCTGATTCGCTAGAACGTGACCGGTTGACCTCCCGAGGCCCTTCGCCGCTTCCTACTTTCGTCCAGTCATCAGGGAAATATCAGAGTGCTTATTCTACTTAGTAAACTGTAAGACGGAAGATGATTTAAAGAATACAAATGAACCTGATCACTCACTCAGGAAGATATCACAACATATAAGGTAAGGAGACATGAGCAAAAATTATGTCCAAGGGTGACGACGTGTCCGGCGGTGTCGGGACAATGTAGAATGAGGGAAGGGGACTTTGGCAGAGAAAGACGACGGTGTCATATAATGGCGTGGATAGCAGTGTGCCAGATCTACGTGAGCTAACTTAAAAGATTCGACCAATCTCATCTAGTCATCGATCATCAGGCACCTATGCCATTGCGATTCAAAAGGGAATTCTCTCGACGTCAGGAGTTGTCTCCGTTTAGGCAGTTGTCAAGCATCTGGTAATCCGGACACCAAGAACCAAGGTGCCTATTAATTTTTGTCGATGCTGCGGACTCACTCACGATGCTCTCTTATCAGCCTTTCAAGGCACATTCCATATTCGATGATTGAACATACTGTAGCAGTTGCAAGCCCTCGGGTTGCCAGCATTTCACGGTCGTTTGCACAGCAATATCGACTCATCAGTACCCGACTGCCTCAGGCAACGTCTACCTTACTGATATTCTTGTTCGTCTTCACACTGCCATTTCTTCCCACAGGCCAGAGACACATGGAACATCGGCGATCGCACACACGATGACTGAGCTTGCTCCTCGTGGAATTCGTTTGGAATCCACCAATCTAAAGTGTGGCTGGAATTGGATGGGAAATCCTGGAGTGGTTCTCGAGCACACTCTAATGTTCTGATGATGAGATGCAATTGCTGTATGAATGTTTGTTACCAATTAATGGTTTCTAGCACAATGGGGGCAGTGATGTAAAGCTTAAAACACATCCGTTTTTACATAAATATTTGCACAATGCATTCATTCCCCCGCGAGCGGACTAAAATAATGTTGCTTCTGTTTGATCAAGCCATCTGTGCCAGCAAGTACCACTTGAGAGTTAGTTGGAAAAAAAGAATTCTGATACGCGGAGGTGCAGAATGAGCAGCTCAACGTCGTGTATTGTACGTGCATTGAGGTCGGACAAACAGTGGTTGGGCTGAGACTGAGGATTGGCTCGGTTCAAACGCTGGCGAGATTGCCGCCAAGTGGGCGGGAGAGCTCGACATGCGAGTTGATTGAATGTCTATGAATGTTGAGATACGACGCTACTAGTGGTAAGAGCGGGTATTCGTGTGCAAAATACATTAAAGAACGAGATAAATGTTGTGATGAATTATATTAATCCTGGGAATGAAGCGTGGGCGAAAATATGTGAGCGAGCGAGAGTGTGGTGAGAACGAGTGGACCGTATGCTGCAGTGATGAAGGAAATAAAGAGCAAGAACAAAGGCTTGTCGCTCAGCTGGACGTGTGGTGCCGGTTCCTTCCAAGCGTTCAGGAACCGGCACCTCTGGCATTGTGTTGGATACACAAGGATGAGAAACGAGGTGTGGGTGGTCTGGCATTCGACACGTCCCACGCCTAATGCGAGATGGAAATTCACTGAAAAAGCGCATTCTCCTCAGCTCCATCAGCAACAAAAGTTTGGGGTCACTCACAAAGTCCCAAAGTGTTCCGAATGCAGGAATCCCAGCTTCCTTGCAACCATGTTGGATCTCAAAGTTACCCACGTAGTTGGAAGTGATGAAGACAACCTCCGCCTCCCACTGGTCGTATACCTCCTTCAAGATCTTCATGGTGGGTGGACGACCGCCACGGACTTTGGAGTCCCAAAGGAGGAGACGCTCTGGACCGATGTGCCTGTGGATGAGACCACTGATAGTTGGGCCAAACGTCTTCTCTTGATCGGAGCCTAGCAGACACGTCAATTATATGCATAAGCCTCAGGTTCCGATTGTCGCACCGATCCAAATCAGGTACCAGTAGGGAGATTGAATGCAAGTAGAAAGGGCAGCACCAAGACCAGTTCCAGTGCAGATTCGGATTCCACGCTTGTAAAGGGTCGACGTATTGGAGACACCGGCGAACTGAAATTTTTTTGGCAATCTAATCGGAAAATTACTTTGGTCGTTTTACCTTTAGCTCACGAGTCCAGATTTTTTTAGGCGGGTCGTTGACCAGTCCCTTGGTGAAATCGCCTTGCACGCCGCAGATCAGGTAGTGATGCTTTGCATGGGTACCCTCGCTGCAAAGAGTTAGTAGTATTGCATAGCGACGACACTGAAAGACTTACGAGATGATACCGAAAGCGTGATATTCCTTGACAGCCGAACGACTGATGCGAGCAAGCAGACCCTGTTGCATACCACGCTCGAAGCGGAGAACAGCGACTTTCGGAGACGGAAGTTCGACGTCGACGTCGACGTGTCGCGTGCAAATCCAAGGCAGAACAATGCTGAAACCGCTGTCACCAACCTAATTGAGAAGGCAGGCAAAGCAGTACTTACAAGATGGACATTCCGACCGTATACCAGAAAGCCTGCTGTTGGACGACGTATCTTCCGACGTGGTCGAACTTTCCGTCTGCAGTGTCATAGGCATTGGTCGCGATGGTGTATACCCCTTCAAAAATTAGCACGGTCGTGAGCTTCTCTACGTTATAGTTAAACCTACAGGTCATGCACAAGGAAGTCCATCCGAAGAAACGGTGATTCAGCTCGAATACGCTGGGTGCCGGCGTCAAAAGGCTGCGATGAACGACCGAACAGAGTGCTCACTTGTGGTGCGTGTTACGGACCCACGGAAGACCAGCACAGAGTGTGACGAACAGCATGACTGAGGTGATCACCCCGAAGACAAGTATAGAGTCGTTAAACATATACTTTGTCTTGAATTGATGCACGACCATGAGGACTATCCAAGCTACGCCGGAGATTGCGCATCCGCTGTGGATGCCACCGAGATGCTGTAAAGAACCGTCAGCTCCCTGAAATCGCCATTTGGAGTTCAAACTGACCTGCAAAGTGGAGGTACAGGCAAGGCGGAACCATAGAGGAGTCCACTATAATAAAAAATACATCAACACCAATTGAAAATGTTAAAAATGGATGGCACAGACCTTGGCGAAGAAGGTGTTGACGAACAGATACAAGCAACGGCCGAATATCTCGTTACGCACAAGAATTGCGACGTTCAAATTACCAAGGACCAAAGCACCAGGATATCTTGCGGCGTATGGCCATTTTCCAGCAATCGCAAAGCCAATTCCAATGAAGTTGACTACGAACACGACGGTGAAAAAACGCCTTAATAAATCAGAAGGGTGAGCATTGGGCTACATGTGTTGTCATATAATACCATACCTGTAAGTATTGTACCAGATGACCCAGAGAACCCACAAGGGTGTAGTCTTCTTTGTTGACTTGGCAGGGGTTGGCGGTGGCTTCACGACGTCTGGGAGAGTAGCCGGCACATCTTTCTTAAGAGACTGCACGGCGAATACCTCGATGTCTACTGCCTTTTTCTCGTCCTTGGTGGGATCGGTAAGCTGGGGAGAGTGGACTTCTAGTGTCCCTTTCTCTGCATCATTGTAAGC